GGAATGGATAAGGCAGGGGAATGTGTGGTTCACTGGTTTAAGTGTGATTTGAGAACGAAGGATAATACGGCATTGTGGATGGCGAGTCAAAAGGCGAAAAAGTTGGGGGTTCCTCTGGTGACAATGTATATTGTTAGTCCTGAGGATTTCGAGGCACACTTGACGGCGCCGGTTCGAGTGGATTTTATTCTAAGGACGTTGGAAATTTTGAAGAAGGATTTGGCGAAATTGGATATTCCGCTTTATGTTGAGACGATCGAAAAGAGAAAGAAGGTCGAGGGCAGGATTCTGGAACTGATGGGAGAATGGGGATGTTCACATCTCTATGCGAATATGGAATATGAAGTTGATGAATTGAGACGAGAAGCTAGAATGGTGAGAGCTTGTGTGGAAAAGGGTATTTGTATGGATGTCATACATGATACATGTGTGGTTCGTCCAGGAGATTTGAAGAGTGGACAAGGAAAACAATATGCGGTTTATTCTCCTTGGTTTAAAGCATGGGTGGCTCATGTTCATGAGAATTCGGATCTCCTCGAGCTTTTTGATGCGCCGGAAAAAAATCCTTCTAGTGCGCGCAAAACTTTTGCAAAGCTATTCGAAACGGAAATTCCAGATGCACCAAAGAATAAGTCTTTGACCGCTGAAGAAAAGGAACGATTCCGATCCATGTGGCCAGCAGGTGAACATGCAGCCCACGAACGACTCTTGAAATTCGCGGATGAAAAAATAAATAAATATGGAGATCATCGAAACTTTCCCTCCTTAAACTCTACCTCATCCCTCTCCGTCCATTTCGCCTCCGGAACCCTCTCTTCCCGAACCGCCATCCGCACCGCGCGCGATCACAACAATACCAAGAAACTCAATGCCGGGTACCAAGGAATCCAAACCTGGATCTCCGAAGTCGCCTGGAGAGATTTCTACAAGCACGTTTTAGTCCACTGGCCCTTCGTCTGCATGAACAAACCCTTCAAACCCGAATACACCAACATCGAATGGGAATACAACGCTGCCCATTTCAAAGCCTGGACGGAAGGTAAAACCGGGTATCCGATCGTCGACGCCGCCATGCGCCAACTGAATCATTGCGGCTACATGCACAATCGCAGCCGGATGATCGTAGGTTCTTTTCTGGCCAAACATCTCCTCCTCGATTGGAGAATGGGCGAGAGATATTTCATGGAACATCTGATTGATGGGGATTTTGCGAGTAATAATGGAGGATGGGGATTCTGCGCTAGCACGGGTGTAGATCCGCAACCGTACTTTCGTATCTTCAACCCCCTGTTGCAGAGTGAGAAATTTGACGCAGAGGGTGAGTATATACGGAAATGGGTAGAGGAGTTGAGGGGGGTGAAGGGAAAAGCGATTCATGAACCGTATGGGGATAAAGAGGCGGCGAAGACGGCGAGGAAAATGGGGTATCCCGAGAGGATTGTGGAACATAAGGTCAGTAGGGAGAGGTGTTTGAAGAGGTATAAAGAGGGATTGGGGAGGGCGAGTGCGTAGGTAGGGTATGGGTGTTGGTAATAGTGTTAGGGTCGATTGGAAGTTGTACAATCAGGGAGATGCAGTTTGGGGGTACCTAGTAATGAATGAAAATTTTAACAAAGTTAATAAAAATACAATGTCATCCCCATCCCCATCCCCTTTTCCAAATTCGAATCCCACATGCTAATGCTAAACCCAAAATTTTAAACTCGAGCGTAGCGAGCTAAAGGGGGTTTGGGGGCTTGCCCCCATGATGAAGAAATGAAGAAATGAATAACAAGTGAGAGAACACAATCAATAATGAATAAACACAATGAATAATAAATAAACACATAGCTTGAATAATAAGAATAAGAATAGTATACAGATAGCGTGGATAGTGCAGACATAAATGATTAGATATTTCATTATCCAGGGGTTTTTAAAAATGAGAATTCGATGGATGGATGGATGAATGAATGGGTGATGAATGGATAATAATAAATGGAGAATGTCTACATCTACTCGAGTAGGTGGGTAGGTAAAATACCTAGAGAGGTAGGAGGTATATGGAATCATCAAAATCACAAGTTACAATCAAAGGCGGTATTCGAGAGAAAAAAGTATCGGTATTTGCTCGTTTAACTAGCTAGTACCTAACCTACTCTGTGTCTACCTACAAACTACCTAGATAGGTAGGTACCTGTTATAAAAAAGCTCGCTCGCATACAAATTGCAAAGATGCAAAAAGGCCAATCCAGCCCAAACAAACAAACATACCAACCTAACCCCATCCATCCAAGGCATGCTATGCAATGCAATATATTAAAACCCCTGAATCCGTGCCCATTCATCATCTCATCTCATCTCATCCCATCACGTCAGATTTCCCTCAACTATAGATCACACACCAAAAACCCCCTTGACTCTCCTCACCAATTCCCTCCCCATTTCATTTCTCCCCTCTCTCGTCCTGCCCACCGCATCTCGATTCTCATATGCTCTCCTCAAAAGATATTTCATACACTCGCCTGTCGTTCCCCAAGTCAAATACTTATACGCCTTTGGAATATCCGTTTTCAGATGCAATTGATCTTTCCCTCCTTTCGTTCCCCCAATCAATTCATTAATTCCTCCATGAACCGTAACTTTTGCATCCTGAGCATGTGAAGAGTTCATCGATTCGGCCAATTTGCCCTCGGCGACAAGTTCGCAGGATACTTCATCTGCCATGCCTTGTAATTGTGCGTAACATAATTCGATTCTCTCTTCGCCCTTCTCAGCCTGTTCGGTACGAATGACTTGTGCCTTTCTAACTGATTCCAAATTATGACCTGCGAGCGCCAAATCCACAGCTTGGAATGTTCTTTCTCCATTCTCCGGTTTCAATATCGAATTAGGAGATTGACGAATCAATGCCTCAGCAATGCCATCATAACATTCATCTGTTTCTCGCTTGGTATCGTGAATTAATTCGCGAGGATCCGAACCCATATATGCGCCTCGAACCAATTTAACTCCGAGGGTGAAGTTTTCCTTTTGCGCAATAGCCATGTGGTTTGCGACGACTTGAGGACAGGCTTTGAGATATGCTTGATAAGTACCATAGATGACTGCTCCTCCTTTGCCGGGTTTATTATATCTCTTCATATATTTCAATGTCCAAAGATCAATCCCCGCTTGTACAGCAGCATGTTCCGCATCAAAAGCTAATTTGACACCTCGTTCTGCACCCAAAGCACAAATATCATCGATAGCTTGCTTAAGTGTATCATGACAAACTCCCTTTGCCTCTAAAGCTTGTAGAGCTAAACTTCCCGCTCCAGTAACCTTGATGGAAACGAAATCTCCCGGACCAGCTAATCGAACAGTAGCCAAAGTACCTTCAGCCCAAGGTAAAACTTCATCCTTGACACATTTTTCCACATCGATGTTTGCACCTGGAGATTTCTCAACTTCTCTTGCATAACAGAGAAAAACCCCCTTGAAACCAAGATCTTTGATTGCGCGAACCGTCTTTTGAACTTCAGCATGGGTTTCACCTGCACAAAATTGTTTGTAAAAGGTATTTTTGAGGAAGAATCGTAAAATGGGATTGCGATCGGGTGATAAGATGGGATTTTGAGAATGGGCGAGGATGGTCATTATTTTGAGGGATGGAGCGAGAAGTAACTATGATTAAGAGATGGAATGGTTAGTGAAAGTTTGATACGTAGGTATAATTGAAATAAGTAGTAAAAAGAAAACAAAAACAGATCAAAATCATTAAATATAAATGACGCTCCACTGGCCCTCCGGGGGCCACTGCCGTGGAGGCTTTTTCGCTTCGCTCTAGAATTAAAGGGGAATATTTAAAGTACTTAGTAGATAGATAAGACAGGCTTACAGGAGAAGAAGAAATCGTATTGATAACCAAAGATCTTACAACATTACTCAGAGGTAATATGGAAAGCGGACTAAGCTTCGGCACCGTAGCTGATTTAGATGTTGAATTCGTATTGGATTGTAAAGGATGAAGAACATCCGTAGTAGCAGAAGCAGAAGTGGGATTTCCAGTATAAGTAGATTGAAGAGGTGATGTTCTAGAAGATAATGTTCTGTAATGTGAAGGCGCAATTAGGAATGGTCTTTGAGAACATCGTAATGCTTTCCGTGATATTAGATTCGACATGATGGGAAAGGTGGAGGAGTTGGGAAGACGATAGGTAGACAGATGAATAAATAAATAGACAAATGAATGTTAAACAAATACGGCCTTATGTTTCTCTTGCTGTTGTTCGGTTCCTGTGTTGCGCAATGAATACTGACTGATTGCGAAGGACTGATATGTACCAACAAACAGGAATGAAGGGAAAGAAGAATAGAGAAGGAAATCAGGAGTAGATGAGAGGAATTTAAATAGGAAAAGGGAACTTGGGAAATAAGAAACAAGTCCAAAAGAAGAAGAAGAAGAAGAAGAAGAAGAAGAAGAAGAAGAAGAAGATATCCAACCAGCGAAATCGGAGTTGTGAGTGAATAGTAAAGTACGGTACGGTATCAATCGTCTAATCCAACATACAACCAAGAGACGAGAAATGGATGAAGCTTATCGATAACTCCCATCCATCCAACATGCCGTCGACAACCATCAGATCCAAGCTTATCGTCAGTATATCAGGTTATCCACTTTGAAAATGAATCGAGATGATTGGTTGGATGGACTTTCTTTAAACGCTTCAGATAGTTGGGGGAATTCTACAACCGATGGAAACCGAATCGATGGTGCTTGGATGTCGGTGATATGGTGATGTGGTGATATGGGATAAGAGGGACTACTAATAAACTAATAACTAAACTAACAAAAAACTATTCGAATGTTGATGTCGATATAATTCAACTGTTAACTATATATTGGAGATCAATATGATATGTTGAATACTCAAAAAATGATACGAGGATGGGAGAGAGGAATAGAGATGAAAGTAAGTCTGGATTGAATAACGAGGTGAATATAATTACCATTGAATTTCCATTGATTATTATGGTTTTTATATTGTGGTCTTTTCGACATCTCTCCGTCTCAGATCTTCTTCCTCCTTTCCCTTTCCCTTTCCCTCTCTTCTTCCTGTCGTTGCTCCGGTCATGAAATCTATATATTCTAATCTTCTACCTCTTGCATAGCCCACTGCATCTTGTAATAATCCATATCCTATCCCAAATGCTAATCCGGTTTTGGCGGTTCTGGCTGCGGTTATTATAGGGAATCGATCTGGGAGAGAAGTTATGTTAGTATTGATCACTCATCATATGGAATCTTCTCCCATCTATCATCTGCCTTTTGTCTTTTTCCATTTACGTTTGCCAATCCTCATCTCAGCCAGAGGGAGAAAACACCATTGGTGCAATAATCCATTGTCCATTGTCCATTTTCCATTATCCATTATCCATTATCCATTGTCCATTGTCCATTGTCCTTTGTCCTTTGTCCATTGTCCATTCTCCATTCTCCATTGATTCATATTGAAATCACAACTCCCCGCACACAATCACAAGCACAACTGCAGAAACCAAATAGAAAACAAAAAACAAACACAAACAAGATAAAACTCACTCCATAAACTAAACCCTCCCGCAACACTCAAACTAGCCACCACAGTATTAACCACATCCTTCTTCCCCCTCCACCTATCACACATATCCTCAATCGCCAACAACCCCGCCGTCCAAAACGCAATTCTCCCTCCCATCCTCAATCCCTCCTTGACTCCCCCCAGCCCCGTATTATAATTCTTACTCTTGTGATACAGATACCATCCCGTCGGCGACGTGGGCAAGCGATGCGCATTCTCCGCGCGAAAACGCAAAGATGCAGCTTGCGAACCGTGGGAGATTCCAAGTGCCATGCCGCAGAGAAAGGATATTGATGTGCAGAGCGGGAGACGTGCGCCGTAGGGTATGGACATGCGGGAATCGAGGACGAGGGCTTCGTGGTGGGCTTTGCGCCAGGCTTTCATTTGGGCTTCGAGGAGGTCTTCGAGGAGGTCTTCGGGGGTTGGAGGATCTGTGGTATCTGTGGTATTTGTGGTTGGGGGAGGGGTTGAGGGATCCATGGTTTGAATTGGTTGATTGACTGCTTGATTGATTGACTGCTTGATTGCTTGACTGCTTGATTGCTTGACTGCTTGATATAACGAACTGAAGATTGAAGTAAAATACCGTTTCAATACCAGTAGATGAGTGAGGTTGTATAAAATTGTATTATATTAATAAGTAAATAAGACAAGGCTGAAGAATGAAGAAATCACTTTTTTTAAAGATCAGCTGCTTTCGCGAATTTATTTATCAAGCTTTATTAACCTTATCGCGTCGCATCAGTCATTCAATAATAATTCGAAGCTGATGCCTGTCTGTTCTTAATCCGCCGAGGTACTTAATTATCTTCTGTCCATCTCTTTCTTACAAAGAAATAAATTCAGATCAAAAACAACAACAACAACCACAAAAATCAAACGACTCTCTTCGAAGTTATATTGTTCAATCAATAAATCATCACACCCATTTCCTATCTATTTCGAAAGTCAATCAATTCAATCCAATCCATATACACCACAACAGAATCCAATAAACTAACCCTCATAATGGTAAGCCAACCTTTCCTCTCCCTTCCCCTCTACAACTCATCTCCAAACTAACCCCCCCTCCACCAGCCACCCAAACGCAAACTCAGCACCTTCGACCCCCCAAGCGACACCAACCTAACCCTCTTCCTTAAACACACCATCCACACCATTCTCCTCCTCGTCCCTCCCACCCAAACCCTCCCTCAACTCCTCACTCTGCTTCTCTCCACCCTTCAAGAACGCTACCCAGAAGGTCTCTCTCCTCTCCCCTCCCCCGGAAACCCCGCATCAAAAGCCACCACCACCCTCTCCTCTACTACCACCACTCCCACAGAGCGCAGAATTCCCCTCCCGGAATCGATCAAAAATATTGCGTTAGCCGTGCCACTTGATCCCCATGATTTGAAAGCGGGATGGACGGAGTTGCGGTTGGGACTAGGGGATACGTTGGAGAGTGTGGGGGTTAGGGAGGGGGGTGTGTTGGCGTTTAGGTTTTTGGGGGAGGGGGAGGAGGAGGGAGAAGGAGAGTTTGAGGTTGCGTGGCCGAGTTATGAGATTTATGATGAGGGGGATGAGGGGGATGAGGGTGAGGAGGCGGAGGAGAGGACGTTGGCGGGGGGTGAGGAGGGTCTTTGATGCATGGGGTGGGTTGGGGTGGATGGGAATGGGAGGGGATGCAAGATGATGGGAGAGATGGAATTGGTGGAAAGCGCAATGGGATGATGAGTTCTGCGCGCAGTTCTTCATAAAGATGATGGTGTGTACACTATACTGGCAAATTATCATACTGGCGTTATAGGTACGGAACGGAATGGAATGGAATGGATGTTATCGATTATGAACCATATGTGTACGAGGAGATGATTATGAATCAAATGCGTTATGATGATATGGTGAGATAGATACATAACGTCTTTCTTATGGCTGTCTCTCTCAATAAAATAGCATAGTTGTTGAAATTGTAAGTGTGTGTAAGATGTTTGAGATGTGGATCATAAGGTTGACATCTTGTGATATGATGAATGAGATGGTTATTGAGTCGTTCGTTGTGAAATAAATTCAAATTTCAGGGTATCTATTCGAATTAGATCGTAGTTTAATAATACATTATGAGGATTGTAGTGTTTGAGAGGAGTTGGAAATCTGGAAATACCTGGGAAATTCTGTTTTGATCAAATTGGATAGCTTGATTTGATTGTTGAGTGTTCGTATTAGATTGGAGATGGGATATAATGGTCTTTATTGTTGGATTATAGTGCGATTGAAGTATTAGATACTGCTGGTTTAACTTTCAATTTTAACTTTTAATCACTGTATTATATGTATATATGTGTGTGTGTGTGTATAGATGTATGTACTAGGTATATAAATACCAACGCCTCCCCTCCCCTCCTTCTCCCCTCACAACTTCGCTCCTCCCTCACCCACCCCCCTCTCCTCCTCCAAAACCTCTCTTCTCTCCCTAACTTCCACCTCCCTAGGCCCCTCCTTCCCAAACCTCACCAGCACAACTCTCTTCGCATCTCCTTTCCTCCCCCTCCCCTCCAATTCCGGTCCCTGTCCATCTAATCCTAGAATGACCTTCCCATCTCCATTTCTCTTTTTAATCCCCAACGAAAGCGGACTCATTACTTTATCGCCCCAGAAGATGCCCGAGGCATCTCCTCCGTCTCCTTGGAGGAATTGAAGGACTTGGGTTCTTTGCAAGGAGAGTTCTTCGGTTGAGAATGAGGAATTTGATTCTGCGCCTGCTGGGGGCAGAAATTTCGAAAGCAATTCCATGAGATAGAATTGCGGAGGGAAGAGAATAATTTCTCCTTTGCGGGCCTTTTCGAGCCAGGTAGAGCAGTGGGCAAATTCGGCGGCGGTGTGTTCGATGCCGCCGTCGTGGGTGGGCGTTGTGTGGGTTTCTTTTTCAGTTTCTGGTTCTACTCCTTGGTTTGTGGTCACACTTTGATTTACTCCTTCCGTTGAGGTGGAAGGAGAGGAAGAGGAAGAGGACGATGAAGATAAAGGAAGGAAATAGATATACATCTGTGTAGTAAAACGTTTTGGGAGATTAGAAGGGGTGATCCAGCGGGTGAAGGGGTGGAGAGACTCGATATCGGGGATTCCGCCTTGTTGGGCTAGCCAGGTTGAGAATTTGATATTCCGGGAATGGATTTCTTTTCTTGCGCGCGAGATTTCTTTATGGTCGATGTGGAGATGTGCTTCTTTGGTGCTTTTTTGCGAGGGATCTTGAGGGGAAGGGAGAGCGAGGAGTATTCCGCTCTCTTCGAAACATTCTCGGATAGCGCCGAGACGATATACCTCGGAATCTACGTGACGGGATGGAGAGGAGGGAGGGGGGATAGGTGATTCGTGGTAGAGATCGAGGTTTCCGCCTGGAAAGACGTGGGCGGAGGGGAAGGAAGATGAGGTGCGGATACGATGAAGGAGAAGAATCTGGTTTTGGGGGGAGATGAGGAGGACACTGTGGGGTGTTAGTTGGTATTGGAAAGAGGGATGAGAGAGGAATCGATGAAAAGAAAACAAAAATAGGGGAAAGTGAACTAGCAGAGATATATCACACACCTCGAACTAGGCTGTGGAATCGCAATCTCTTTCTTGGCCTTCCTATCTACTTTAGAACTACTAGTAGATGAAGTATATTGTTTTTCCAAATCAGATTTTGGAGATCGAGATCCGGGTGATGTCATATTTCTCGGCCTTCTCCCTATTCTTAAGAGTCTTCCTAGATTTTGTTGAGATGTATTGATTCGTGTGGTATGAAAAGATCTATAATGTGAGTGTGATCTTCTCACTGCTAACGCTCTGAAGGCGGAGATTTGACAAGTCGATGGAGTGATAACCTTATGTATACTTCTAGACACCAACGGAACTGGAATGAAAAATGTAAAGCAAGAAGTATAACAGAAATGTATTATAGACATTGAAACACCAGAAACATGGATCAGAAAACGATTAGAAATCAAAATAAGGGGGTTACGGATAGAAGGCTTGCACGTGCGGGGGAGGTGCGCGTAGAAAGAAGCATTTCCGAAAATCTGGGGAAGCTTGATATGATGGGTGAGTGAGCTGAACCGAGGTTGGAGGGTGGGGATGGTCTGTGCTTCTGTGCTTCTGTTGTTGTGTTTCTTGTGGTTGTGATTGTAGTGGACGACGTGTTGAGATTTAGATGTAATCATCAGACTCTGAGAAGAGAAGGGAAGAGAAGAGAAGAGAAGAGAAGAGTGCTATTTTATATAATTGAATAGTTTCTGGATTGGAGATTCGAGAGGGAAACTCGAGGCACAATGGATGTGGGTAAGATATGTTAATCTTAGTGAAAGTGCTTGCCGTCCATCGAGTGTATGGTTGAGTAACAATGGACTTTAATGCTGTGCTATACGTAGGTAGGCAGTCTTTATCCTCAAGCTGTGCGAAAAACATATAGTTATGTATCTGATATCTACATCAGACATCTCCTCGACACAATCTCAAATTCTTCCCCTGGTCAAAACCCAATGCGTCGGCTGGGTAGCAAATGAGTGCCAGAGTCAGAGCATACCAGTTACCATGCTGAGATGAAAGTTGTCTCCTAGGTCCACAAGAAAGGTTTCGCAGATGTAGTTTGTATCATTGAAATAGAATTACACAAACGAACATTATTTTTGTAACATCAAGTAGAATCAAGATATGTTAAAAGACTTTTATTGTTATCAGCATCTAGTCTAGAAGATTTCTTGCTTCGATACTGTAGTTCAAGAGAAAGTATCAAATCAAGAAAGTATCAAATCGAATGTCCATTCAACCCAAATCTCACTAAGACGTTTTCCTAGTGGCCTATTCATCTCCGACAGTAGCTTTCAAACGCTCGGAAAGAAGGGCCCTATCCCCCAAATACAGAAGCAGGTCCGGCCTGCAGTTTCAGTAATCCTATCCATACCTTATCCTTTCCCAACAGCCAGAAAGAAACAGCATCAACGATCTCTCTATTTCTCTTGTTCATTCCTCAATTTACAATATCCCATCCTCTCATGATACAACTCCTCTCTCGTTCTAACTCCTCAATCCAGAATTTCGCTTGGTGTAATACACTGATATACATGACGATGACAACAATAGCTTTGCTAAATAAGACCAAACGATTTGCTGCTTCGGAGAAAGAAGTTGGATTGTTGTAGTAGTGATGTGCGGCCCAGAAAGGGATTGTGGATAGGGCTCCGGAGATTATGAGCTAGGTAGGGTGTATATTAATCTAGAATTCCTTAATTCGAGAGATTGAGGGACTAAGGAGAGAAAGGAAAGGAAAATGCGATTGTAGAAGACAGATGGGACGGCGAGACTGTGGAATTATATACATACATAAATATTAAGCTTAACTCTCGTCTCAGAAGTCATATCTTTCATTGCCGCGGTAAATTTCTCATTCATTTGATGTCGCATATTGCCCAAACTCCTAGGAGATTGATTCTCAGGGATAGTCTGGAGATTTTGAATATGAGCAAGGTGAGTGGTGCGAAATTTTCTGCAACGCCAGTGTTAATACATGATTCCATATTGGCAGGTAGGGAAAGAGAGAAGTACGTATTTCGATCGTTGGCATATATCCGATCTTGAATCTCTTGCGCGGTAGTTTTAGTCTTCATTCCCCAACTCGCGGAATAGGACTCGTCAAGTTCTTTGCTGCTGCGAAGAAAATAGGAGATGAGTGATAGAATGAAGAATACACAGCCAGTCATCGCAGCCCAGGAGTACTTGGAGTCGCGGAATTGAAAGAGGATGTTGACGATGATGAGAATAGGAGCAATGAGAATGGCGATGAAGGACTAGAGGGTATGTTAGTAGGGAGTGCAAAATAGGAGTAACAATCTAGTGAGACGTAAAGGGAACCAAATTACCCAGAGGAGCATTTGTGCAGCTTGGTAGCTCATGGATGAACCATGGTATGCTTCTTTCTGGAGATACTCTGCTGACATGGTGTATTCATTTTCGATGGAGTCATCCTTAAGGAGTGTTGGATGAGCTACACTGTCGACTTTTGATCCTGAAAGTTTGGCGCTGTGGATCTAGATGGAGGAAAGTAAGTATATGTTTTTGGTAATAGTATACTAGGCTTGGGTAGCTCCTATTAGGGATGTGTGGAACAGACTTACTGAGTCTGGGTAAGCTTTCGCGTTAAAGACTACACCGAACACCTTTCTGATAGTAGATTTGTAGGATTCCATCATAGATGTAGTCATGGATTTAATCATCTACCAAGCTTTGTGTCAGTAAACTTGTCAACATCAAGGAATGGAATTGGTAAAAGCAGATAATCAACTAAACTCCGAAGAGCATATCTAGAAACATGAGATAGAAACATACCTTTAAATATTCAGTTGTAGAAGTATCTTTGTTATTAGAAAGTTCAAACTTGTTGTATGTAGGTAGTATCTATATCAACAGAACTCCAAAATTGATGGAAGTATCTTTGTCCTGCACGGAAATTTCAAACGTACTGTGATACTTGTTGTATTGTAATATCAAAAAGAAAACGGCTCGCAACAGCATAAGCCTCTATATCTTTATTTAAAAGGTTCGCTTCCTTTCTCCGCTTCTTTAAGATGCAACTATGAATCTCCAGGCCCAGAAACAGTATAGATGTCTAATACTAATTACCGATGCAGAATCATACAAAGAGAACAGTATGGAGATCTCATTACCTAGGGATTACCACCGTAATATGGATGAGAAAAAATTCTACCGAGAAAAATTCAAAAATGAATTTTTCTAGGTTGCGCCAATCGCTTGCCTGGGTTACAGCGGGGGTCAGCAAGTGAAAGTTTGGCTTTCACTTCATATAACGACTTACATATTAACTTTTAACTTCTCCGCATAGCGGAACCCCTTGGCGACCCGATGCCCTTTGAAGGGAAGATTTTTAATCGAGTAGCTACTTCGGGCAAATACAGAAATCTAGCAGGGAGGCTGGATTGGTGGGCTCATGTAGGGCTGATCGAGTAGCTTCCATGACTATCTCTAGATAAGTTTAACATTTCATGAATACTAGGATTATTAATATGATAATGGGTCTTACAGAAGTATATGGAAGCGTTAAATGATAAGCGAAAGCAATCGGCCTGTAGAAGACCCTATGACAGCAGTTAGATTCCGTTGATAACATCGAATGCTCGCCATTGCGTTTCCCCATTAAAAAGGACCTTCGCTTGATTAGTGGACTGTTGCTCTAAATCATACCGTTTTGAGTTCTTTTACTGTATTATTACATGCATCTATTATTAGCATGATCTACTCTCAGTCAACAGAATAGACAAACCACAAAAACACCATCATCACAAGTTATGAAAGACTTCTCGTGTTACTTCTGCTAGAGCCTAGATGGTCAAGACTTATTATGCCGAGCGAATCTGTGAGTGTGATTTTTCATGAATGTCAGATAGTCTTCCAGGAAGGAGCGATAAATTTGATATTAAATGATCAGAATCTTCCACCATCATCAGGTCTTAGAAAATAAAGCTCCTGGCTTATTCTATGTCTCATAAAGCATCTTCTTATGTGGAATTAGCAAGGCCATCATCTCTTCATTCATGAGAGCAATAGGAAAACTATGAAAATTCTTTCAGCCGCTCTCAGCTTCACATATATGCTTGTATTACTTTGTGCATCTAATTACCCTCTTTGATCAATCGTGAAACAAAAAAATATCGGCACTTGGAGTTCAAGTTCTTTCATTCATCTGTTTAAGCTAAAACTTTTATCTTATTTTTATCAGTTCCCAGGCCAAAACTGTCTAGGCTTGAACACTCTCATCCAAGTCTATAAATTTTTTTGCGTTTTTTTTTTTTCCGAACACGTCATGCTGTTTTCCCTTTGCGCTCCTCACTCGCCAATCTCCTCGGTAAAAATTGAGTACAGTGAGTCTATACGTAGGAGAAAAAACAGGCCGGAATTGACCACTTCTGAATACTTATAACGATCCAATTCTTTTCTTCCAATTTGAAATAAAATATATATTCTTATAAAGATCAACATAATTAGAAAACGAGAATTAATTTGATATTATTAGATTTATTTATTTGATTTGGAGTTGATTTATAGTTCGATTAATTGGAGATTCTGATGAAGATTTAAATGGTCAATTGCGGTCTGTTTTTTTCTCCTACGAATAGAGTGAATGTCATAAGTAGTAGATATCAATTTCATAACTTCAATTGAAAGTGAGTCAAATAATGTGTTGATCGACCATGATTCACATTGTTCACATCTGAATTACAAGAGATTCCTAGCATAGCCGACTGCTTGTATGTCGTGGTGTGCGTCTCATGGATGTCATCGAACATTATTGTACTCTTCTATTCAAATAGTCCATGCTGATGTGGTTTGGTGCAGCTTACCCACAAAATATCGTGTCTATTTTGGGAGATTATTCCAGAAGAGCCATGAGTGAAAGCTTGTGTGGTATTGTGATGAGGACTTAAGATCAAAAATCGAAATTCGAAGTATGTTGTTCTTTCTCTTCTGACAAGATTTCGGTGAAACTTCAACCTCGTACTACGGTAGATTGAAGTAATCGTTTTTCACTGAGGCAGGACATCAGGATATTGAGCACTATCATAGACTAATCAATATCTAGGTGAATGAAGGCCCATCAGAATCACTCAGTCTCATTTTGGTGGACTTGAGAAAGAACCTTTTCAAAGATCCGTTCAAACATCATTTTATATAGGATACTCTATCATCTTTGACTCTCAATGTATGGGTTTGCCATTCCTCAACAAGGCAGTAATAATTACTGCATGCCCGATTGCGATGTATACTCGGCAAAGTAATAATACCCGAGCCGAGGTGCTCCGTATTGATGCATCTCGAGAAAGTAGCACAGGTGAGGATATGGCCGTCTCACCAACATCTAGTCCCAGATTTCATCAGCCAATATCTGACTCGTTTAATCAAGTACACTGTCTCTGAATCTAGTCAATAAAAAGTTGTAGATCTTTTTATTCAAGTTTAAGCTAGCTTACACTAAAGAAACTAGATTTCAGCCCTATATGAGTTGGGCTGTAGGGTCGCCGTTTGACTCATACCTAATGGTTTAAGCTCATCGTGGGCTAAGGTTGTGATAAATACCGGAGCTGTGTGATTTGATCATTCAATAGATTAATCATCAAATGCCTTTTATTTCTGTTATTTGGGAATGTTTTACTTCGTTCAGAGGGAAGCCAATTGGCCCTTATAGTAAAAATCCTTGCTAGCTAGCTAGCGTATAGTCAATTTTTCGAATGAATACGGTCCTGCATGTATGTCATCTCAGACCGTACGCCACACACCTTCCCCCCTTAATTTATATCGTGTATAAAATAACGAACTTCTTCTCGGATTATCCAGTCTCTACTATACTTCAAATACACTTCAAATACACTTCAAATACACTTCAAATACACTTCTCAAACTTACTCAACCTCCAGCTCCCTTTTATTCTACTATAACAATCATACAAACCAACCACCAAGATGGGTAACAATGGACCGCTATTTTTCTGGCATCCGGATGATGCCGAGTATCCCTTTTTATCCCAACACTACATATGTGAATTTACGGATGAGCATGGTCGAGTTTTTACTTCAACGGAGCAGTTTGTTTTCCATTCCCATGCAGGAATGCTCCATACTCACATGATCTGATCCAGGTATATGATGTTCCAGAAAGCTCTTCACTTCAATGACATTCCCACCTCGATCGAAATTCTTGAAACGACTTATCCTAGACAAGTCAAATCTCTCGGTCGCAAAGTCAAGAACTTTGATGAGAAGGAATGGAACAAAGTGAAATTCACCATAGTCATTCAAGGGAATGTATCCAAGTTCTCGAGGGGAGGAAAAGAGTTGAGGGAACAATTAGAGAGAACCGGCGATAGAGAACTGGCAGAAGCAAGTCCGTATGATAAAATTTGGGGTATTGGGATTAAGGGTGGAGTGAAGGAGTGTCAGAGACAGGTGAGGGATGGGACGTTGGATGGGAAGAGAAAGGAATGGGGGAAGAATCTTTTGGGTTTGGCAATGGTGGAGGCTAGAAGGTTGATCAGAGAGAAGGAGAAGAGTGAGAGAGGAGACTGATACTCTTCAATGGGAAGACTTCGGTTCATACAGGTTGAGACAATAAGTAAGTATCTTCTGGAAAGTTTAGACGAGAGTTGCTATATGTCTTGATCTGATAGTAACATTCCATTCTCAGGTATCACTTCTAGAAGTACCTACGGTAGGAAAAATCAAGCCTTTGCAGTAGCGTAGTAATTCTAGGAATATCTCATCCCAACCTTCACTTTCATTATTGCAACCAATCTTACCACAAAAATATTTGGCTGAAGTCCACAAAGACAAAGCTAAGGCGTGCTTCCAAATTTTATCTGCGTTCCCATTTAAACTCATAAACCCTCACCTCTTCGCACTTCTCAACCACAACAACTTCAACAACAATTGTCAGACAATTAACACAATGGCAAACCACGATTTACTAGCAAATCCTCTTGCAGTTCGCAATCCAAATCCTCTCAGTCTCATTCCATACTCCGTTGCTACTGGATATTACTCCGAGGAAAGTAAAGATGTTTATCTCACTAACGCCAACATCTACCCACACACCCACGTTCCTGGCATTCCCTCACCTTACAGCCAAGAACAACTTGAACGACGCACTCTCTATATCACCGGTTTTCCACCAGAATGGACAACTCCAGCTTTTCGATCAATATTCGAACTCTATGGAGTTGTCGAAAAATGTCCCATGATCTTCGACCTAGCATCCAAATCTACATTTCGCTTTGTGGTTATGAAAAATACGGAAGATTGTCTCAAGGCGAAAGATCAAATTCACGGTGTTGTTTTGGAAAATAATACCCTTTACACAACTGAGGCATTGCCTTCGAGCTCATTGTTGAGACTTTACAATTTGGGTTTGGATGAGTTGGGCTTGAACGTCGATGAATGCTTAAAAATCTTGGAAAATAATCGAGTCGTTGATGATTTTGAAGTCGGTGATTTGGATGCTGCAGATCAAAATGCCGCGGTCAATACACAATACGTCTATACCAGTGGCACTCTCGATCAAACACCAACTATGCATAGTCATCAATCTCCTGGGACCAACTTACCTATCGTCAAAATCCGAGCAGCAGACTCCGAAACCGAAGTCGAGTTTCCACCTCCAAAAATGATTCGCAAAAATCGACCTGCACCCTTAAACCTTGTCGGAGCAAACAACATAACCTCTCGCCGCATCTCACCACTTCTACCCCCTCAATCACCATTCCCAACCCAAACCCACTTCGAATCCATCTCTGAAAACTCCACATCCAGTCCCACCGATTCCCTCACCCCAACACCCACACCCACCCAAACCGCCTTCAAAACCCAAGTCTCAACCTGGGCCGCCATCGTCAGCAGCGCCTCCCCCAACCATCGAAATGTCGATCTCCACCCCTCGACCCCCCGCTCCGGCCGTCGACTCAACAGCATCGGACGCATTCCCGCCCTCCCCCCCTCAAAAACCATGATCCACGAAACCCTCTCCCAACAAGCTCGCGTTGTCCTGATCCTTAACATCCCCTCCACCATGACCCTCTCCGACATCTCCAACGCCATCCACGAAGGCCCCATCGTCTGCATCCGCTTCGGCATCGATTCCGACACCGGGAAACGCTTTTCCGGTATCGTATTCCAGCATGCTGCGGATGCGCATTCTTTTTTCTCCGTGCTCCTCGCGGAACGAGAAGCGCAATCCCCAAATCGCTTTAGATCCATTGCGGATTGTGTGCGCGGTGAACCGTTCCCGATAAATGATGATATCATCTCCATGAGTGCACCTACATTCGCATCACGCAGATTGACAATTGTGAAGAAAGCCTTTTTCTTTGCATTCACGGGACGCAATCTCCAAACCCTGTGTGAAAAAGAAGTTGGGAGAGAAAATGTACAATTGGTGTTTGTGTATAATGGGGGGAATGCGACGGTGGTGTTTGCAGAGGTGAGCGCGGCGAGGAAGATGAAGAGTAAACTTGAGAGGTTGAGGGAGGGGGCTGGGAAGGTGGGTGGTACGAGTAGTATTTATGAGGGGTTGCAGGTGACTTTTAGTAAGGATCCGTGTGAGCTGGAGGGGGGCTTGAATTTGCAGGCTGCGGATGGGTATTGTGCTTAAGGGAAAGGTGGTGGGGAGCGCGAGTGTGCTGTGTGGGCAAAGTGGCTTTTGATGGAAAGTTTACTTTGCTGAATGGCTCTTCTTCTGGAGTGTTTGCTTTGTCTCAAGTCGACTCGCATGATGGTCATGATGACTGCATTTTTCACATTTGGCCAAGTCATCTTCTTGAAGAGGAAGTTTGATTATTGCGATGTATTGAGTCACCTCGGCGTTCTCTATTTCTTTAATTTTGTATTTTGCGATACGATTGAACTATGGATACAAATCTTTCGATGGAAAGATGTCGAGATTCATAGTGGATATCTCGTTCTGCATTTCTGTTTAATAACGCTTTACTTCCTTTACAGGCATCTAATAAGACCTGATATCATAGCACCGCGGATCACCTCCCGTGGCACCCCTAATTACTTTTCTTTAATAATAAAAGATGAATCAAATCCCAACCAAACGCCTATTCATGCAATTGATATCCGTGTCCAAATCGTACAATTCCCTACTTATACAAAAACCCTCCAGTGATAACATAGCCTATCCAAATACCTTTTGCCAAACTGAGACAGAAGGCCTCTTTCCATAAACATGATTTGTACAAGCATCCTCATGACCAAATGTTCCCGACCCACTATGTCTCTGGCCACTTCCCCAAACATTAATAGGTAATATACCCAATCCTCTCAAGTTTTCCTCAACGGCATTCCTATCATTGAAATCCTTAGCCGAAAACCAATAAGGAGATCTTAAAGCACGGAATTTCTTCCACGTAACTCTTCTCTCCAGTCCTGCATCCATATCTCGTACTTTGTGTACCTCTTTAAGATTCTCACTCAGCATCTCCAAAACGATATCAGTTAACATGGCACCCCCACAAACTTCCCCAGATTCCTTCGAATCGACTTCTTCTCCAAATAGAGAGGTCATAGAAGAATGTGAAACACATCTCACAATCGCTTTTCTCAATAATGGATCAAATCTTCCCGGTGCCCACATAGCATACGTCGTGAAACTAAATGTTCTAGACCATCCCCATTTTTCTCGGATATGGGGAGCCATATATGGTTCATCAATATCAATTCCTAGCACTAAACTTATGGGACTGGATCGCTCTCGCTGCTCTACATATCTCCCCGTTGAATTCGGATATCGTCGAGGCAAGGATAGAGAAGGATGTTCAATGGAATCCAAATCGAAACATTCTTGAATGCTCATTCGAGGCCAAATATCTGGTTCCAAGTAGAATCCTCCATGATACCAAAGTAACAACCATCTAAACAGATCGACTTCGAGTTCTGGATGCGTGGAAAGAATTTGAGAAATCGAAGGTATGGAATGCAAATATGGGAGGATATCTGGGCCTGGTGATGTGGTATATTGTTTTATTTCCCACTGCGGGTTTTTGGACGCCCATTCTTCTGTCCAGCCTTTCCAATGAGGCGCTTCAGCTGCGGAAGTAATTTGCCATATTTTCTTCGGCGCTCGAATATCTTTTTCGAGCTCGAGAAGGGAAGATGTAATGCTTTCTTCGATTTCGATTAATTGCTTTTCCAGAATGGTTTCTTGTGTGTGGTTCGCATGGAGTCGGTAGGGTGAAGCATGTTCGTAAATTGGTGTATCGAGATGTTCATCTAGAGGTTGTTTCGGAGATTCCTGGGGAAATCGAGATTTAACAAGAATAGTAATGAGAAATAAGAGAAATATTGAGTAGAGAAGAGTTCGACATCTGCGAGGATGTGGCAGATGTGACATTCTTAGATTCTGGCATGATGCGAATATAAAAGATGTAAGACGAGAGAAGAAAGATATATATATATATATATAATTGAGGGAAAGGGGGTCAGACATTTGGATTGTTCGAGATTTGATGTCGCAAGATGTGATGTGGGGCTGACCACGGACCAATGTTTCTATTTTTGTATTCGTGGGGGTTAGACGTCGACTGAATTGATAATAGAGGATATTGAGGTTATTTCGATATAAATATCTCTCAAATTCAATATAATCCCCAACCACTTTCGAATGAGAACGATGCTATTGTTTCTTTACACCCATATCAAATAGCTGCATATATGTCTCGTCGTTTCGTGTGTTTAGGCATCTGGAATGGCTACCAACGAAAGTATCATTCCGTTGACGTTCAGGAGAACTTTTCTTTGATTGGCGACGATGAGTATCAGTATGCTTACTATCTCTTATTTCTCCCCGCTTGTTGTTCAATTCGACAGGAGACGTCTACGGAGAAGCGGCTGGCACACCAACATTCAAATCCGATGATGAGAGCTTGATGTTTCTGTCATACTACTCTCACCCTTTCCGGTCTGTAATATATTGATCACAAGAAATACCTTTATATCAATTCCACAAAGATGATACGTTGACAAGATTTCAAGGTCATTCGGACTTCAATTCCTGTCCAAGGCCGACGTTAAATCGAGATTTCTCACGCCACTTTGGCTATCCATAGCCCGAATTACATCTATTTGCTTCACAGTCACAAGCCGCCATATAGCTTCTATGCTTTTTCTTTGCTAAATTATTGTTACATTCTATAAGGGTATTATTAAATTTGACCCCATATACTCTAAACGCTATTCATCATTTGTGATTGTCCAAATCCTGACGATATATGGCTGAAATAACACGCTATACTCCACAATATGAAAATATATTGATATACGCACTCCGAATCTTCACCAATCCACAGTATCCTGATCCCAGGGAAGATCCTCGTCTCGGATTTTGGCACAGAAGAAGCCCCTTTTGTTACTCTGTGAGCCAGGGCTTATTTCCTCGCCGACCCGACCTAAAAATCGGTCAAGAGCCAAGTTGCTTGACAATAAAGTCATGAAACTTTGATACTACTCCATAGTAGTATTTTTCAACTCGTCTGCTTCCAAACGATTCATCACTTCTCGGTAATAGGTAGCACTCTGATACTCTAGTGCATCATCCTTCATACCATATCTCACCATCAACATCCTCTTCCAAGCCGGCGTCTCTTTGCTAAACGATTCTATGCCACAATCAACGGAAGTTCGTACGAAGTCAACGCTCTGGAGCGCTTTAAAAAAGCAAGATTTGATATCTTCGTCGTCCTCGAACTTTGATTGCCAATGTTCTTTGCCAGCAGTACTTTTTGCTTTTGAAACTTCGTAGATTAAGCACTCCCGGAAGAGAACAGGGTGGTGCAGCTGTTTAGCGATTCGAATCAAAGAATCACTGTTCTGGCAGATCCTGTCAGTAAATCCGGGACTTCTATGAAACGCGGAATCTAATGTATGTGAAAGGGCCGGACGAGCACACAAGGAATCTGCCGAGCGGACGATGTCCTTGAAACTTTGATAATTGCGAATGACATATGGTTTATTGTAAAAAGCAAAGAGTACGGCTTCGAAAGCACGTCTTTCTCCTTCCTCAGTTTGTGGGGCTCTCAGTTTGTTTGTGTTTGTCAGAATTTCGAAGTTTGATGTCTACGATAGATTAGTGTTTATCCTCTAGACAAGCATTTTTAGCATTGGACTGGTGTGCGTACCGATTTGATTAATTCCATAAGCCAAATTCCATCCTTGTCAACTACAGAGGTAAAATCATAACGGAACTTTCCTGATGGAATTGCATGCTTTTCTCCCCATTCTAAAGTTGACCGGAAATATTTGGATTTTAGTTTTATGATAATGGAGTGAGCATAATACACTTGGCCGAAGACATTGAGGCGGACATCATTTTTGAAGCCGGGTTGGCGAAGGATTATAGGCTCAGCTATCTTCTGGTTGCCATCGGAATCGCTCTTTCGTAGAATTGAAGAATTCATGATTACCGATGATGGGTGGTGAAATTGAGGTAGCCTTTGAGGATTTAGAATGAAGTCACGAAAGGAATTTGAGAGTGTCTTTTTCAGAGTTTTCGCTGGGTGCTCAGTAAAATTCGAAGGGCTCAATCACTTTTTATCTACCTTTGGATTTACATCTGGACTGGGTCAATCACTTGACGTGTGCCAAATACCTCTAGTCACCGCGCTATCTGTTAGTCTACTGAACCAATCTTGACTAATGATACGCTAAGTATAGTGCAAGACATACCATTTCGAATTCTAGAAGAGTTTCGAACTTGGGTTATCTTCTAGAATCCATGTACTCTAAATTCATCAATTCCATTATCTACAAGGCTTTCAGTCAAAATGTCTTTCGCGGACCTCATGGTGACTCTCTATTAGCCGAGATGTCTTAGAATCTTTGAGAAAATATCTGTGAGGAGTGTTTCGGAATTATTTTTTGAATGACGTTTGAGGAAACCATTTAATTAGCGTTTCATTTTCTGCAGGGCTGACGTCCATAATACCTTAAAAAATACTAGAGTTTCGATCGCAGCAGACTTAACGCCATAGATACTATGCTTAAGACAGAATCTTACTGTGCTTGTCTTAGCCATACTGCTTTTTTCTTTACCATTGCTTAATGAAAGGTATCTGACACAAAGAATAACCACTATCCGAGTTTGTGTTCTCTCTTATTTTAAGGAATTTTTGATGCTCGTGAAAGCCATTAACTATAGATTACGGATATCAAGTTATCTCCCAAATTTCGATGATGAATCTGGCGTTTTGTGGTTTGAAGGTACCAGATTAAGCTTTTTACGGAGTGAACTAGTCATGCAAGTACATGCAAACTTGTTAGGATCAAAGCTGTGATATAGAGCCATTAGATATGCAACAACGCATTTGGAGGACGGAAATTGATACTTGATTGGTTCGCCGCCTATCACGCGATAATCTGGTAGTCTATAGTCTAGTTTAGTTACTACCCTATGCTCGATCTGGTAGTGTAGTGCCTGTGAAAGCTATTCTCGACAAATCACACCCGGTCATCGTATTGCCTAAAGGAGAATTAGTAGATTTGAGACTTAGAAATTGAAATTAGTCATGTCTATGCATCTAGAATTTCAATCGCCCGAATCTACTTCATCCAATTCCAGTGAAAAGCTTCACTCAATCTTATATTTCTTTGAAGTGTATTCTTTATTTTTGCATTCTAAGTACCTAACACATTAAGTATATCGCTAATACTCCAACAACTCCGATAAAACCCGCTGGTGACGAGATCCCATCTGAAGTACAAACGCACAATATGCTGATGATCATCTTCCTTTTTGAGTCTTCCAAATCCCGATACAAATGGCAAATACTAAAGGCAAGAACATAGCCAGCGCCAGTATCATACATTTCGCGATGCTTCATACTCATGGAATACACTGACAGAGTCCGCAGCTCCTCGTATAAAATCTCTCAAGCTGTTCCCAAGAGATAGACCAGAAATCTTCAACAAAGAAAGTTCCTCTGGGCCCAGCTTATAAAGATGTCTTGGTTTACCAGTGTAGCCAGTATCCACAGTGAAAATGTTGCCATACGCTGCTTCTTTGGCATTCTTTAACATTTCATGAGCAGTACTACCCATCAGAAAAATTTCAGCCGTTCTGAGTCTTCTTGTAAGGATAACTAATTCGTTGCCGATGAATTGCAAGTCGATAGCTTCATGAGGAGGAGGCAAATGGATCTCTCCCACAACCTCACTGTTCGGGCTTATCCTAATAATTCTCGAGGCACCAGCTACTCCGCACCACATATGATCTTCTGAATCTATCACAAAAGCCGTTGGACACTCCTTGGGATGTTTGAATTCATAGAATAGCCTGTCTTTTTCCATGTCAATGATGCCTGTCTCGATATCAAAGTCATAAGCGAGTATGCAATTATTTCGCGCGAGCTCATGGATGTAAATGGTTTTTTCATCCAAGCTCCAACCTATTCCACCGAAACGCCGGACACTCACGTAACGACGATTGGATGGTTTCCAGTCCTTATCAAGGTGAAAGAGTTGGCCAGAAGAGTTTCTTCCCTCACTAGTCATCAACCAAACTCTCCCCATGCAATCCACGCTGCCCCCAGTGTAACGTAAGTTATTAGGTGTTTCCACATCCAACTGGGATCTCGGTGAAATCCCTTCAGATACAACTCGGGAGTCCCGATTTCCTAGGTGACGATAATTTTCTATGAACCCGAGCTTTTCCGTCGTGGCAACGAAGAGTGTATCCGAGTATCCTTCAATCTCGACACAAAACAATGGTTGAAATTCGGGTTTCATAATCGAATAAGAGATTGAATCGTTATTCCCCATGATGAGATTATTCCGTATTTCTTTCAGTGTGCCTATTAGATGGATGCTGTTCGCCGCTATCAAGTTGATGCTTTGATCTTCCGCGATCAATATTTTCTTGAAGTCTAGATTCCTGGGAAGTAATGGCTGTATGAATATCAGTCAAAGGATCAATCAATTTCATTTTTCTAATACTTACTTCTTCCACAGACCATGTTGTTACTGAACCGGACATTTTAGGTTAAGTCTGACGAAAATTATACTATTTATGGCTTATTCGGAGTAGAATGTATGTCTGATGATGAATACAATGTATTTGACAGTGATGTTTTCGTATTGGAAAAAAAATCATGACGGTACGGGTTGAGCGATATGTGAATTAAGTACGTATACAGAAAGAGCGATAAGTCAGCGTTGCACACCGATAAATACAGATTATGCCATTTGTACCTTCTTGATGAAGTATAGCTAATAGGGAACTACGACCCCATGGATGATATGACGCTTTCCAACAATCTTTGATATGCCAATTTAGACTTAATAAAGAGGAAAATCCTGAGGCTCTGATACTCCCAGCGATAGGGTTAGGATCAATCAATCAAAAATCTTAGAAACAAGGAAATTTAAATGTTTGAAGTTTGGGAAAGAGCATTTCAAGAGGCGTAGTTTAGTGTCCATCGCTGCAATTCTATATAAGATTGAGAACATCGGGCATGAATTGCCTGGTTTGGTATTAAATTGTTCAAGGTATAGTTTACACAAAATCGATATTCGTTCATGTAAGCGCTGTTAAAACAACACATGCGCTGCAAGTAACCAGGTCAACATTCATTTTGTGATCTGAGTGCTGGCAGATTCCTCGAATTTGCAAACTAGGGGGTCTTCGTCAGCGACGATTGGTGTGGTCTTTAGAATTAGTCATGATCCCGTTGCGTAGATATGCATAGATGAAAGTAGACCACAGCAGGAGGTCCGACTAGATACATACAAGAAGCTAAGGTTTGTAAGTCATACATAGAGGGTTACTCAAATGCTCACAGTGTTGTAGAGATTTGAGATAAAGAAGTGTCTTGAAAACATGGCATATAGTGTTTGGTGTATAGATTATATGTAAGACCTCAACGGGCGTGAAACACATATAAGATTGAAAGTACATGATGTATGTCAGCGGAGAGAACTAGTAAGAGATGAGCTAATTTGCATAGGATAGCATGTAAGCGAAGAACTACTTCATTCGGAGTAAGAGTTGTGTGCCTAGCACTCACATGGGCTTCTATTTTCAGACCTTCGTTCAATGACATCGGCTTATTGATAAGAGTCTACTATCCGTTATTTCATTCTCGCTCTTTGACACTCAAAAATGTAGAAAGTAAGGCCAAGATATCATTGAGCTAACGCTCGAGGGTTCGTCGAACAATCGAACCCAAGTCAGAAGATTCTAAATACTTAAACACATATGATAAGATGAAGACCATCAAGGCATCATGTCTGCACTTTCTTGTCTATCCTAGTGTCAGATGACACTACGATGGAACTGTGAAGTTGGGTACGGCAACCGCTGCCAATTACTCAGAAGAAAATTTCTAGTCCGGCTTTCTTTCAAGTCAATTAATGATAGTTATCTCTAAGTGTTGCTGTATTGGGTAGAAGTCGCTTGTACCTATTCAGAGATCCGCTAATACTTAAGCTTAACTCCTCCACCTTCTCGAAAAAAATATCCTCCTACTTTTTTACAATAAGAAGAACATCTTTCATCATCATCATCAATTCCACCCGCATTAACAATAAAACTTTCAAAAACATATCTGTGTTACTAGATACGTATAATTTTCACGATGCCACTGGCCAAAAAGAGAAAGCTCGACCTAGAAGACAACGGACCATCATCCACAATCGTCCGTACTTTCGATTTGCCTGGTCAGAAGGTCGACGTTAAACTGAGTATATTTGATGAATTGCAGATCCATGTTCACTCAACGGTCTTGAAACCTCATAGTGCTTTCTTCCGAAGATCGCTGGACTCATCCAACAAGAATGATGATGATAAAAACACTGGAAATTTCAAATATGAATGGGCAACAGTCTACGACGATGATGGAAGCTGGAGTTTGGTTGAAACCAGAAATATGAAAGTAGGTTTTTGGATTTCCATGTGTGGATTAGCTTGCTGACTTTTCACGCGTAGCATGACATTTCAAGCTCAAATTTGATGCCGAGACAAATAAAACGTACCCAAAAACTACATGAAACAGCGTTCATAAACTTCATTGGTACTTTCTACGGGAAATCATGGGTAATAAAAAATACCGAGGCTTTGCAGCTGGTCACCGAATTAGCCGATTATTATTGCGCTCTTCCAGTTGTTTCAAAATCGCTGCATGGCGCATTTTTCAGAAGCCCTGAATTCTCCAAAAGAATTTTCTTTAGCAATAAATTGACATTGCTCAATTTAGCATTCAGATTACGTTCTCCTGAGCTCTTTCGGGAATGCATGATATGCTTAGTTGGAAGGTGGCAAGACCACACCTGCCAATATCCGATTGAAAGCCAACCTGAGATGCTGTATAACCCAAAACTTACAAATCGGAAGCTAAACGAGTTAGCGATCAAGTTACATAACCAAATATGTATCAAAGTATCTGCGACTCAACGACAAATTGTTTTTCATTGTCAAGTCAAGCCAAATGCTCTAGGAATCAAGGCCAAAATCGAAAGATCTTATCTTGACAAAATGAAGCGGAGAGAGACTGAAAAAGGAGTCTACGGTGGCCAAGTTTCACTCCCTGAATATTTTCAGACGTTTGGAGAAGATTCTTCGGGAATTTTCGCGCTAGCTGTTAGTGACATATTGAAGAACGAACTTATCTTCAACAAGTCTTTACGGGCAGGGGACATTCTGTTTCCTGGAAAAACACAGAACGATATTCAGGCACATTTTCTGTGTGCAGAAATTAAGGACGAGGATCTACCGGTAAGCAATTTCATCACCTTCTGAGGAGATCCTTAGTAGGCCTGTGTATTCTTCTTTTGTCCGAGAACTGCGATGACGTTATATTTTGAAGTTATTTGTAACACTAACATTATGATAATAGTGGGATCTGAACGAAACTGATTGGTGAGAGACGTTTTCGATAGAGCTGCAATTACGTTAAGCGAGTCGCGATTCAGCTGTTTTTTGTTTCACAGCTGTGTTTGTACTAGATAAGATAAGATATGATCACAGTCTGTTCACTGGAGTGGTAATGATAGGTAGCTGAGCTTGCAGAAATATATGACATCTACACGCAGAGGCTTTCGCAGATTGTGATAGTTATCAGATCAAAGACACGGAGTCTGCTCTATTCACTGAATTCTGGCTCATAAAAACGATCATGGAGCTCATACTTTTGTTAATTAAGACGAGAGAGTAGTGAGAGATTATATTAAACAAAACAATTTGCAAAAACTGTTTGCGTGGTCGATATGTACACAAGTGCTTTCCTGGTGCCCAAAGATGTATGATGAAGATATTGAGATATTCTAGCCCTGTTTAGATGTCAATGACCAATCAGTTTGTATGCGGATGGCAGTCATGCAGGTTTGTGGTCTTCGCAAGCTTTCGGGTTGACTGTAGATGCTAGCTGTTGGAGTGCAAGTGATGATCAACTACTCGGGAAAAAAATTCTTAGACGAATTAAACAGACAAGCATTGTAGATATTTTAACACCAGACGATAGATAGATGACTGCTTTGATATTAGATTATATGTCAACTGATCTTCTGGCATCTACATGCCTGATACTACAAATGGAGAAAAAGTTCTCCTAGAGACCCGGGAAAAAAAAGAATATACGCTCAAGTCGATATATGTACGCAAGTTGTATTCAAATGAACCCAGAATCTTCGTTCTGGTAAATTAATGTACAGCAAATCTAACTAGAATATTTATTTCGGGAACGCGTTCTTGTGACTGTGTGGAGTGCCGTGAAAGATAAGAAGTTAGATGATATTGAGATTTTAAGCAAAGGTCCAGAGAAGAAGGAAGCCGTCTGCATCCACCCCCTTCGTGATCAAGAAACAGAAACTCTGCGGCAGAGTATATGCCAAAATGTCAATATTCATAAGGGTAGCCTCTCTAGCAAAGGTACTGGTGGCATGATATTCCGAGTCAGAAGCATGAAGGTACAGTTTTCCCTCACTGTCCTCTGAATCAAGTACATATAAATCAATGATTCCTTAACAATACTTAAAGGAATAATGAGCACGAGTAAAATATGTAAAATTCGAATCCGCAATTTTGGAGGGGGGAGGGGGCGATAGTAATGAATGTCTACTAAACAATTTCACTGATACAGTGGCTGAGAGAACATACTATACGCTAGTTTGTTAAAGGAGCCGTACGTTCCCACCAAGCAGGTTAATTTAGCGAAACTAGCGTGCCTAGATTTATTATTTAAGTTGTTCTTCCTTTTGTTCAAGACTCTTACTCTCAAACATTTCATACTCATAGTCTTGCTTCAGAATCTAACTACCCTAATAGCAACCAATTCATACCATTACAATTTCAACAGGAGTGATCATGGATCAAACCCAGAGACTATCCCCAAAGTTGAAGGTGTTTTCACTTCCCGATCAGACACCTGATACCAGATTTGTCTTGTTCGATGAAATAGAAGTACACCTACATTCAACAGTTTATAACTACACTCGGCATTTTTTCGCAAATTTCTAGACTCTCCAGACAAAAAGCCTGCAGAGCCGTCAGCAGAATTCCGATACGAGTGGGTCAGTGAAATTGAGGAGGATGGCGAATGGCATATGGTCGAGAAATTCCATGCAGTATGTTCAATAAACCTTCATGATTGTTTAGTTTTGAATGACGATTAATGTTAATCATAATACAGAAGTCAAATAATAATGTCTTGTCGGAAAAGACATTCTGGGATATGGAGGTACTGGTTTTCATTGAGATGCTCAACGCATTATATCGTTTTCCATATAAGATCTGGGTGACTCGGCTGTTCATCGTCACTAAGATGGCAGATTACTATTGCTGCCTTCCGGCAGTCTCGCACAATCTCTTCGCATGTTTCGATCAAAGCAACAACGAATATATCGCAGAATATGCTGCTCAGCTTCTTGATATTGCTTACAAGCTTCGTCAACCACTCTTGTTCAAAGATTGTCTCATTCACGTTACTGGTTATATGCCTCCTGACTCCCGTGATTTCCATCATGTTTGCAGCAAAGTGGTCTGTGACGTCATAATGAAAGCTCGTAACGAGGTTAATCGACGAGTCGTTGACGCCCAGCAACGTCTCCTGCTATGCACATCTAGCGAGGAGCGCTCGAAGCTTCTAGGCCATTTTTGGGAGACTGGCTGTGAGGAAACAGAAGGGCAGCTGAGCTTGTCTCGTTACTTCAGAATTCTGGCGGAGCACGACAGTGAATTTGCCAGTGTCCTGTCTAACGTGCTCCAATGCGAATTACGTTTACCGTCTGAATCAAGTCACGAAGCGGGATCCCGTTATCTCAATGATACGGATCACTTCTATTGCGCAAGATTGTTGGACAGAGATCTACCAGTACGTAATACCGATTCTCTTGATTCTAGCATATTTTTCTCTCAAAATCTGAGGCTTATCTACTTAGTGGGATCCGACTGAGACCGACTGGTAACAGCGCACGTTGCTCATCTCGAAGAAATATTGCCTGTACGTATATCCATCTATCTAATCCTACTGCGGAGAACACATGTCAATCGTCACGTCAAATTCAATACTAATTAACCAATAGACCTTAAGATTGCAGATGTGTAATCTACATCAGAGCATTATTCTTCTATGACATCCCGCTACGATAAGTAGGAAAGGCAACAACAGTGCGCCAATTGTGCAGATTGTAAGCTCATTTTGGTTAATTGCTGCGTACCTTGGATGATTCCAAATATCGTGGACATAGTAGCTACAATAAATAGCAATACCTGATACTGTACCCTTTGAATGTTTTTATGTCGGTTGAGATTGTGAACTTGAATTTTTACATGGGCTTGTAGGTGCAATTTTCCAGATGCACTCTCAAGTAGACTGTGAGACCGGGTATCCGCAGAGCAGATGATGAGTCGTGCAGATGATCTGTAGTAGAAAACTTGTGAGTAGGTTGTGTAATTTCTGCGTAGCCGCATCACAGAGTGACTTCTTTCATATCTGGGTAGGTTGAGTTTCTGAGAATGCTCTTGAAGAAATGTGGTGTCCGCCAGGTGCTCTTAACTGTAGTATCAATTGATAGATAGAAACAATCTTAACAATCTTAAACTCTTGAGAGAAGATATATGCAACGGATCCCGTTAATGATAATGCCATCGAATACATAGATTGCAATGAAAAGCAAACGAGAGAGATTGTATCAGTCATGTGATCCACTAATAGTGAATATAAGGATTTGGATGCGCGAGTACCAGAAAGGTCTGCGCTGCCGCCATACTAGGTAAACGACGCTAAGGTTTTCATCTTCAATTTCTCTTCGCCCCTTTTTCCAAAGCTCGTCCAGCAAAAAACAACCATGGCAGCTGCTCTATCTGATGGAGGCTTAGCACCCTAAATACAGATCAAGAAGTTCGATGTCCCAGGCCAGCTTCCAGATACCCGATTTCGTCTTTTCGAAAAGATGGGAACTCATGCCCATTTACCTTTACTCAAAATGCATTCTGCATTCTTTCGAAAATTTATCGATTCTCCAGATGAGATACCCGCAAAAGCTGGAGCGGCCTTTGCATATGAGTGGGTTGATGAGGTCGATGATGATGGTTCTGGATGGCATATCGTTGCTGATAGTAATGTATGAAGTTATTTGCCCTCTTATACATCCCACAAATGCTAACTGGGGTGAAATCTAGAGGAAGAGTTCAAACAAATTATCGGAGGGCATGTCAGAGTCAGCAACAGATGTCTTTGTTAGCATGCTTAATTGAATTTATCGCATCCTATTTAAAACTGAACCAAAGCAATTGATCGAAGTTACAAATCTTGCAGATTACAATCGTTGTTTGCCAGCAGTAAAACGATCTGTATGCTTGTTTCTATATGAGCCCTAACTTTGATATTCGCAAAGCACGCGATCTCATCGAGTCAGCGTACAAACTTCGTCAGAAATTATTGTTCAGAGACTGCATCATCTATATTGCTGGTAATGTGCACCAGACGACTGTTTTTCTGCACGAGATCGAGAATTCCATTTTCAAACAGGCTCTGCAACAGGTGCTACTGACTGTACGGAACAAATTCTTCGAAAGCCTTGTTGGAGCCCAAGAAGCAATGCATTTGACGGCGTCTGATGATAATGTGCCACTGTTCAAGATAACGAAGGATGTTAGCATGAAAGTATCGGAACATGGAAACTTTTCCCAGCCAGAATTTTATAGAAAACTGGTCAATCGGGAAGAGAAGTTTGCCGAAAGCCTAGAGGAGGCGCTTTCCAGAAATTTACAGCTGGATAGTTCAGCCATGGCAAGAGTTGGTGATTACGAGGATCATTTTTTCTGCGGAAGTCTGAGCGACGAGGAACTACTAGTAAGCTTGCTTAAACTTTTGATCCTGATTCTCTACTATCTACACATTAATATTCAAGAATAGTTTTATACTAACATTAATCTTGTAGTGGGACACTACCGAAACCGACTGGTAGCTGTTTGATACTCGGTCATCAATGATTCATCAAGATTCCTCCACTTTTCATCTCTTCACCTTCACGCCCGTCAGCTCTACAGAAAGACTTGTTCATTTCAAAAGTGAGCCTCCAAAAAACGCGTGGCACATCGTTTTCTTGTAGGCCTTTACCAGCGGGCGGTTTTCTATAAGCATTACATGAGTGGCCTTGGTATTGGGTGGCGGCGATGGTGGTGGTGAGTAGATAGACAAGATCAATCTGGAAAGCTTCACATGCTTCATTTCGTCAATTTGGGTATGGGACATCTAATACCAGCAGGCATCATAAAGCTTACACTACACGTACCTGTTCAACTTCTACAACGGTATGCATAACCAGTTTCCCCAACTTTTTTTTAGTCGATGCGTTTAAGAAATTTCATTTTTCAGTTTAATTTGAATTTAAAATGCTAGTAACTTTACAACTATATATCCAAATCTTATTAAATCCGAAGGACATCATTAGATATACTATAAAAACCTAAAGTTTGAAATACAGGAAACTAATTTAGGAAATTTGTTTAAATTATATACTAAATAATTTTACATGTATTGGTTTGAGAAGAATACGAAAGACGTAGTACTCACGGTATTTATAAGTTCTAAATGTCTATATTATATTCTGCCTAAAGAGCTAGTCTCTATCGTCTTCGCTAAGGGGTTGAAATACAGTAGCTAATGAATTGAGGTGATTTACTAGATTCTAGTAATCAATATTTGTATAGTATGTCTATTTTATTTGAGAAAATGAAAACAATAAACACCTTATTGATTTAATAATAAATATACTTTCTATTTATTTATTTAAATAAATAAGTATAGCAAAACTTTGATTTCATTATTAATAAAAAGTATAAAATTAGTTTAATTGATTTCTATATTTATTAATAAATTTACTCGATTTAATGTGATAATATTATTTATATGATCAATTATTTATAAGTTGACAAAGTTGTGTTTAAAAGTATTGATTAAAGTTTTTAAGGGGAAACTAGTTATACATATTATTGTACTAAAGAATCCTCATTCAATCATTTTCTTCCGTCTCGATAACTACGTTTGTGAAGGTTCTAATGATCTAGGGAATAATTAAGCCTTCATTCCGTGAGTTGCATCAACAAAGTAAGTCGAGTAAGTTGTCTCAACGGTCCACCATAATAGTCGGAGGAATTTCTTGTGTAATGTGTAATCCAGGCAGGAGTGACCATCCATCGCTTAACTCCAACTGCTAACTTCGCTAGTCTTACTTAGATAGATACAGTACCACTCAACCAATTTTTCTGATATACTTCACCCATGGTGTAGTTGCTGGTCATAACTCTGATGTTTTCGAACGCCGATCCCCTGCAGTGTAACCATAACATGGCTCACTGCATCTCTCGCATGTGCTAATGTGTCATCAACACGTGACGGACCCAATGAGGACGGGTTTCCAAGGTTTCCAAGGTTTCCTCCGGACACCTGCATTTCCCCGCCTAACGACATCTCATCACTTTAAGCACTTTCATTCTTACTTTCTATTCTTCCTCATATCTTTGTTTTTTCATTTTATCTGGTGAAGTGAGACATTCAACGTGTCGTTCACAGACATTCATACCATATTCATCATACATTAGTCAAAGCTTGCGGGAACCTTTAGGAACTGGAACTTCGCGCAACCGCGTCAAAATCAGCTTATCAACTTTGGCCGACAATCGATACTGTCTGTTTCTCTGTCTCAAATCATCTCTTACCTGCTACTAAAAGCGTAAATCTATTCAGACACGATCATGCCTTCTCCCCAACTTGTGACGTTTTCCATCCCGGGACAAACGCCCGACACTCGGATCACGATTTTCCAGCTCAAAGAGTTACATGTTCACTCCAGTATTCTGAAACTTTACTCAGCCTACTTCCGAAAATTTATGGACTCTCCTGACAAGGATTCGGCTCCTCCCAGCGCAATGTGGAAATATGATTGGACTGAAAAGGTTGAGGAAGATGGTAGCTGGTATGTTGTTGATAAAAGAGGTCAGGAATTTGAGGTCAGTCTGCTTTATCCGTAATTTCACATATGGTGGTTAAGATGGTAGATTGTTGAAAGGTTTTCAGACAAAGTTTTGTTTGTGTTTGCAATCAGGAGATCTAACGTTGCTGGAATCACTCCAGTAGATTGGATCCTTTAAATTATTTAGGTCTCCAAGCACATTTCATTCTCCCATTTATGATCTAAAATGTCGATAAAGATCTCCTCATTACGATATATTAGACATGAATCCGAGAGTATGCCATGCATAGCTCAGAAATCTACCGAAATGGTTGTTCGTATCCACTATTCTAACATGTACTACAGGAACAACAAAGTGTAAACAGTCGTGATGATATGGATATTGTGGCCTTTGAAAATGTTATCATGAGCATGTACCAAAAGCCTTACGAAATTACATGCACAGCGCATTTGCAAGAGATTACAACCTTGGCCGATTTCTACCGTTGTCTACCCGTAGTGTCAAATTCTCTCTACTCAGCCTTCTTCCGCAGCCCGAAATTTCTTGCCGATATAAAAGAAGATAGGGAGATCTTACTAGAGTTATCATGCAAATTGAGACATCGCGAGCTGTTCAACGACTGTCTCGTCCTGATTTCTGGGTATTGGTCTCCCGACGAATTTGCATTCAGCACAAAGATAGAGGATACAGGACTTGCAACACTGGCTGAGAACGTACATAACCGTGTTGGAACACTTCTGGCAAGAAACATACAGAGCATACTAATAGATACGAGAAACACGGTCCATGCTGGGGACTATCTAAAAGCTGCAGTATCTGGTACCGCAGGCTCACTAGTAAAATACCACGTGAAATTGCAGAAATCCCTTTCCCCCATGCATGTTATAAACGACATCACCAAGAACAACCTCAAGTTGAATACTTCTGCAGTAGCTGGGGAGGGGGATTATGTTTACAACTTCCTTTGCATTGAATTGAAGGAGGAAGATATTCCTGTAAGTTTTGAGTATTGACAGGCATAAACCTCATATTCAAAAACAAGGCTGATATGTTACTAGTGGGATACAACTGAGACAGACTGGTAAGAGCAAAATGAGACGGGTAGGATTTCAGTATCCCGGGTTGCAACCCGACCATGAAGTGTTCCTAGTCCTCAACTTCCGTCTGCACAATGAACCCACTCTTAAACCAAATACATACGGAATATTCAATCCACCTCCTTCATCAAACTTTGATTTTGCGTTTGCAACTTCTAGACAGCCGTTTCCCTTTCTTTCTGTTTTTGTTTATTACTTTCTGTCCCGACCGTTGCAACTCCAGACGTGGCCAAATGCACAGAACTTGTAGCGAGAATGCTCGATATTACCCAAACGACTTTCCGGATGAATTATCACAATAAAACAAATAAGAAGACACACTTGTGGCCCGATTATTCCTGAATACACAACTTTTCATACTACAATAACAACAATTTCATTGAACCGACTTCGCTAATTAGTAGCACCCCTCAACGCCATCGCCCCCAGAACCATAATCTCTAATTCTTTCCTCTCATCCACTTTACTTTCGCCTTTCCCACTCACACCATTCGTACCAACCTTCTTCCCACCACCGCCAATAGCATTCAACTTGTAAAGTTTCTTCACCCTCGAACTATCGACCATACTCGCTAAAGACTCATCATCAAATGGAACAGGTTCGCCTTCAATTACAGACGAAAGATGTTCCGAGATTTGAGATGCGGAGGATGCGGGTGCTACTTTGACGACGAGGAGAGATGCGGTGGAAGGAGTTATACCGAAGCGACGGAAAGATTCTGCGATCTTGAGGGGTGTTAGTTTAGTTGTTCGGGAGATTTACTGAGCGGTATCGCGATAGAAATGACGGAAGTGTGCAATGATATAGTTTCATATGATCCAGTGTATCTTGAAACGTGACCGTCTACCGATTGAGTGTACAATAAGTAGAAAATGAATACAAAATAGGAGAGCAGAAGCGGAAGCAAACATACATTATTATTCATACTCAGCGAAAAAACAATTTCCGAATGAATATTCCGACTCTTCAATCTCTCTTCCAAAGCATCATTTATCGCTCTATAAGCCGCTGCTAAAATGTGTAATTTCGAAAGTACCTATGCCCCCAATTTCATTTAGTCACGTGATATCATAAAAATGAATTTGATGGTGGGCCAAATGGAGGGGTAATGGGTAATTTGTGAGGGAAGAGAGGAGGCCAAGATGGAGAACGTACAACGCTCGCATCGATAAATGCATATTCGAAATCGGTGTTTCCGGTAAGAAGTTGTTGGTGCAGGAAAGAGGCGTTGGTGAGGTTGCGGTATAGGGCGATGTGGAGGGTGTGCGATTCGGGGAGATGTTCTAGGGGGATGGTTTGGAGAAGTGCGGGAGCCATGGTTGGGGCTTGGGGGGTGGTGGGAGATTGGGAAGTTTCTGTTGTGGTTTGGGAGTTGTGAATGGATTTGATGGGTTGTCTTTCTGGTTGGCTGGAATTTGATCTTGGTCGTGGGCGCATAGAGATAATGTGACTCTATGCGCTGGTGCTGGGGAAATGTGACTAATCACGTGATCTGACCCAATGTGGGATTTTTGAGGCACCGCAGATGGTGTTGTGATGGTGTACTTTGTGGCATTTTTACTACATTTACGAAAGATTTATAAGGACTACAGTGAAATGCCAATACTTTTCAACAATTGCTTTATCTTCCCACGTTTTTCGGACTGTTCGCTTTGTTGCGACTGAGATACTGGGCTTGGCTCGAGCTCGAGTTTCCACGTCTACTACGATTCATCGCAATGAGCAGAAGACCATATTTCTGAGAAACTCGGCAAATTATCAATCATTTTCTTTTAGCTCTCTGTTTCAACTTTCAGGAGAGAAGCATTTTCAATACGAAAATAGACGGTCGTATATGCATTGTAATTGGATGCCTATCAACCAAGTGTTTCTTGGCTCAAAGGTTATTTTCGCGCCCCTCGCTTAATGTGGGTTTTTTCCATCCATACAGGGTGTCCGGCGACCTTTCGAATCCCGACAGTAAAGGTCGTTCTCTTTTGGAATTGTTAGGACAGATGACGGTTCCAGAACCAGCCAAGATCGTCCTTTGTGATACTTCAGTCACAGAAGACCAATGTGCCAAGCCATTCCTGAGCTGATACTTTGAAACTCTGGTCGTTGTACTTTTTCACTGCTTGGGCATGTGGGGGACAAAGAAAAAGCCACGTGTAAGCCATGTTTTCCAAATTGGCCCTATGGAAAGAGGGGAGTGTCATTGCTGGGGCTGGGTATTCCCCGGGAGATGTGGATTGGTTGGGGGAAGGGGGATAGAAAGGAGATTGTGGAACGGGTGGCTGGTGGTGTTGCATCCCCGAGGGGCGGCGAGAAAGAGTGTCAGGCTCTGATATTCAGACCCAAGGTATGGGATTGAGTATGTATCGTAGATATCACTGCCAGGGAGGGGAAGACATAGTTGCTCTTCCCCGGTTCTTGCAATCAGGTTGAGGTGGTGCAAGGAGTACAAACATTCTACATGAACAGTTCTGTACGGTCTAGAATCAGAATCGAGCACGGCAATGGGAATGAGTTATAGAATTCTGTGGGGCGTTCCTGAGCAATTCGGGATACTTTCTGTCATTCGATGGGTAGGTGTTTAGTATAAATACAACAATGATACAAAAGGGGGTTTTGGACATGTAAAGTCACGGAAAAATCCAGAATTAAGGGACAAAAACGGAGAAAGGGGTTCAATCCTAGATCGATCATTGATGCACGAGGAAGCTTTTGTTCCAAGGTTGTTGTTATGATTCGAAAATCGCGATATCATAGCATACTCCTATTGCTCCTCTTCTCTCAGTATATCGTTTTAGGACGGCGTATGTAGAAGCTTTTGTTATCCCTTAATCCCAAAGCTTAATACATCATTTTCTTTATTCTTGAAATAGAATACCTTAGCATTCATACACATTATATCTTCCAACAAAGTCGATCTAGATGTTCTATCTTTAACAACTCTCCATTTTTTCCATCAATATATTTGACATTTGTATTCCCCTTCGTTATGGATGGTCATCATATCTATCTGGACCTTCCCGATACTCCTTAGACAGATTTGATCTTCTCGTATCATCACTGTATGAGGATTGTTCTTCATCTCTCTCCCATATGTTGAACTTTGGTCGATGAGTGGTACTGGAGGGAACACTGTCTTGACTCTTTCATCACTTGAAGGAAGGAGAGCTTGATGCCTGGACTCCAAGGCCCAAACCTTATCCAATCCCATCTCAATCGGTACTAGCGCCCAGAAGAACGAGCACAATCCGATTCAATTGGCTTTCGCCGCTCACAATGATATTTCATGGGGGTCTCGGTGTACGATTGTCGCAATTCAATTCACCTCGTACTCAAACTAATCACCAGGAGCGACTCAATCGACAATTTGATTTATTAAATCCTTATACCAATTCTTCATGGCAATTCCAAGGATCAGCATTAGAAGCATCCAATAGTTCCAAAGTATTGGCGGACAATATAATTGAGAACCGACAGAACCGACGGATTGGGTGTCCAACGGCTTCTTCCACCTCAGTACATAATACGGCGTTTTCCGGCTCATTAATTGCGACGATGCCTCCAAAACGAAATGCTTCAGGTGAACCAAATGGGTCCAACGCGCCGGTGGCCAAACACATTAAATCAGAGCAACACCCGGAAGAATTCTCAAATACTGTGAAGAAGAAGTTGTTGGCGTCAACGAGAACTGGTCAAGCTTGCGACCGTTGTAAGGTTAGTTGGTTAGTCAGTAGCGGGTGGGCGTTGGAATGATGGGATGAATGAGGATGCTGCGCGCTTTAGATATTGGTTCAACTGACTAACGGTGAGAACCCTTTGAATATAGGTTCGTAAGATAAGATGCGATGGGTTGGCCGGTGGTTGCTCGCCATGTATTCAAAATCACAACGAATGTAAAACGACGGATAGAATAACCGGTCGTGCGACATCGCGGGGTTATGTCGAGGGAATTGAACAACAAAATCGGGATCTGCATCTTCGAATACAGGAATTGGAGCATCGATTAATGCAAAGTGGTGCCGATGTCAAACCTGCGAATGGTTATCAGGATTCAGCATCGGGTCAATATGGTTATGGTCACTCTGCAAATGGCATGCAATCAACATGGAGTACGACAGGTCCAGCATATACTTCACCAATTTCAACCACGGGCAATAATGGCCAGCAGCAAGAAACTAATATGTTTCGCGCATTGCCTGCTTATCGCGCTGGATGTATGGGTGATAATTATCTCGGGGTATCGCCTGGAAGTTCTCACTTGAGCGCAATCAAAGGGACGGCTTTGTCGATTTTAGGCATGGAGATTGATATTGCGGACTTTCGTTCAACGGATGTGGATGAACCAGATCCGTCGATTTTTCATCCTCAACTATACAATAAGTCATATCAGTCGTTTCTACAATCGGCTTGGAATGTAAACCCACGGATTGAAAAGGTTGAATTGCCAGCACGTTCAGAGGCTCTGATTTATGCGGAATGGTATTTTCGGGTTATTAACCCATATTGTCCTCTACTCCATAGAGGCACTTTTATGAGATTGGTATGTGCACTACCGTCGAGATATAAGTTTCTTTGGCTAACAATATAGTTATCTCGCATGTATGATGATCCTACCTTTCGCCCTACCACTGCTGAGAATGTCATTGTCCATATGCTTTTCGCAATCATGTTTTTTCAGTATGCAACCAGAAATTGGGAAGATGCGGAACAACAAGCCAGTTTAAATTCCCAATCAAATACGCATTATCATTACTGTCTTGGGATGTTCTATCAACTGGCATGTAGTCACACAGCACAAGATGTTCAAGCATTGGCCTTAATCTGCTTGCATCTTCGAAACTTTCCTAAGCCTGGAGCCAGTTGGGTACTTGCAAGAATGGCAATGACTCTTGCTATTGAGCTTGGTCTTCACCGATCAATGAAGAGATGGGCACCTGAATCAAACACACTAAGTGAACTCGATATCGAAATGCGCCGACGAACATTTTGGGTCATC